CCAAAGAATCAGGGCATGAACAAACAAGGACATGGCCTCTCTTTCAACCTGGTCACTGTGCAGTTCTGGAAAATGCAGTCAGAGCTGCCAAGACCCAGGGCTTAGCTCAGTGAGGTTTCTCCCGAGGAGGAGGGAGGGGCCGTGGTGGAGGGCAGACACAGCTTAGCAAGGATGAGGTCTGTTCTTTGCAAGCACCGTCCTTCACACATAGTAAGTGCTCCCACATGTTTGTTGATTGAATCAGTGACTGTCCTTTCCAAGGAAAAGAAATCACCAAATGTTAGAATGATTAGCCAATGAGGGAGCAGCCGATAAGTGCCCTGGGCATGCCAACCTGTCTAGAACCACTCAGGGGCAGGAAGCAAGGTTAGTGCTTCCAGAGGGGGCTCAAGGCCCCTAGTCGGTCTGTGGATACTGAACACCATCTGCTGTGGGATCCGTGGTGGGGAAGGTTCCAGTCTCAGACGCATTGCCATGTCAACTCATTTCCTGATGGCCATTGGTGTACTTGGGCCTCCAGTGATGAGGGCTGGGTGGTGCAGAGGCTCGCGCCCCGGTCAGTAGTGGTGGGGGAAGAACATGAATCCAAAAGTGCTACAAATGCAGTCAAAGGCTGAACGGCTCCGCTGCTGTGCCCTGGACTCGGGCAGCAGAGAGCAGGCTGCCTGCAGATGGGCCCTGCTCCTGAAGTAGGATTTTAACACGGGGTTCAGCGTGTTCCCTGCATTTCTTTATATATATATATATATATATATATGTATGTATGTATATGTATATATGTATATATATAATGTATATATATATATTTATATTTTAAATTTGAGAGGCAGAGAGAGAGGGAGAAAGAGAGGTCTTCCATCTGATGGTTCACTCCCCAAATGGTCTCAACTGCCGTAGCTGCGCCGATCTGAAGCCAGGAGCCAGGAGCTTATTCCAGGTCTCCTACATGAGTGCAGGAGCCCAAGGACTTGGGCCACTTTCTACTGCTTTCCCAGGCCATATCAGAGAGCTGGGTCAGAAGTGGAGCAGCCAGGACTCGAACTGGTGCCCATATGGGATGCCAGCACTGCAGGTGGGGGCTTTACCAGCTACGCCACAGCACCGCACTGCCCCCAGCCCTGGAATTCCTTCTTCACATTGTTTGGGCCCTGGGGGATTCACTCCTTCAGCCCTGCTGACTGGTGGCTCAGTGACGCCCTAACTGCCCATGCTCGTCACAAAAGTGTGGTTTATGGAATGCTATAGAAGGGTTTATAAAATGATTCTGAAATCAACTCTTCAACAGTGATGGTTCCAGCCCTGTAATCCCTTAAACTGGGCACGGTCGGCAGGAATTAGCCTCCGCCTCTTGGCTCTCTAATATTCTCATGGCCCCCATGCAGATGGCTGTGGCAGTAATTGACAGGGTCGTGTGTCACCTCTCCTGCCTCTGCGCGTCCCTCTCCCCTTTGCGCCCTCACATCTCCTCCATAACATCTCATCCCGAGGCGAGGCTGTCTGCATTTCCAGTTGCTGTAATTTAGTTAAGCCGTAAAATTGTTTCCAGGTTACCAGCCATGACATAGAAAGACAATCTTATGTATGCATTTATAAATCAGATAATCTCTCTAAAATGAATCCTGGAATCTGGTGCTCCAGTGAGTCAGTGGGAGGGAAAAGTTTCCTCGTTACTCTGTGTTGGAAGGATTATACTTGTTGTAAGGTGGGTTTGCCTGGGACACAGGGCTTGCATGGGCTAAGGCTGCTGCCTCCGCCTCCAACAGGCAGGGGAGAGAATTGCCACCCCTCTCTGGTGCGGGTCAAGGGATATAAACCCTCAGAGGAGGCTGTCAGGAGAGCAGGTCCGAATCAGTATCTCTGATGCGTCTTGTCTCCTCGCTTGGAAGGGGCCACCTGGGGGAAGTGTGCACATCCTCCCAGATCCAACCAGGAGAACCAAGCACCTGGACACAGGGCTTTTGCTCCCAGCACCCAGACTACCCTCTGGGATACTCACACAACTCACTGTGTTGGTTTCCACCCTGAGGAGTTAGGAGAGTGGGATACCAGTTGGCTGTTTTCTCTCTCTCTCTGTGCCCCAAAGCTGGGGAAGCCCAGAGGAGAAGCCAGGCACCTGCTGAGCCAAGGGTGGGAACACACAGCCCCGTGGAGCAGGCCCCACATTTGCCGTGACTGAGACAGCTCCAGCCATGCTGCAGGATCTGTTAAAGGTCAGTGTCCTTTACTGGAATGATTCAGTGACTTTGCTTTGGTATTTACTTACGTATTCTGTGAGGGGGAGGGAGGGATTGATCTTCCACCTGCTGGTTCACTTCTCAAATGGTGACAGCAGCCAGCGCTGAGCCAGGCCAAAACAGGAGCCAAGAGCTCCATGCAGGTCTCCCATGTGGGTGCAGGGGCCCAATCCCTCGGGCCATCTTCCACTGTCTTTCCAGGTGCCTTAGCAGGGAGCTGGATAGGACGTGGAGCAGCTGGGATGGAACCTGCACTCCAGTATGGCATCCTTTGTCAGATGAAGCGATGAGAGCTTTGAGCGGAAGGGGATGAGAAAGGACACAGGGAAGCAGGCCCTGGGCCCTGAAGTGAAGATGTTCATTAGGTTGCCTATAGCCTGGGTCACATTGCCTGGGCTCAGTGCCCAGTGCTCAGCTCCAAGTCCTGACTGTGGGCAGCAGTGAGGGCTCAGGTACCTGGCCCCCTGCCATCCACATGGAAGACCTGGGTGGAGCTCCTGGCTCCTGGCTTTGGCTGTGGGCCCAGCCCAGCCCCAGCCATTGCGTGCTACTTGAGGAACCAGTAGATAGAAGATCGCTCTCTCTCTCGCTCTCTCACTCTCTCACTCTCTCTCTCATAAATACTTTCTAAAAAGGATATGTAACACCTTGAAAACCAGACAGAACGTTGTCTAGCCCTAGTCAGTTTGTGCCCCTGGCCAGGGCTGGAACCCCTTGACTCCCTCTGCCACCTGCCCCTTCGCAGACCCCAGAATATCCACCAGTGCTATAGACGTACCCAGCTGTGTGTTTCCTATCATCTTCTATGTGTACTTAGGGGGTTGCCACACCTTCCTGTCCCAATGGGAGCTGCACAGAGCCCTGAAGTCACTTCCTAGAGATGCCATTGCCACTTTACAGAAAGGCACTTCCTGTGCGACTGCCAAGGACTGGAGGGAGCAGGGAGCAAGGGCATCTGAGACAGCTGTGAGGGCAGCTGCACGCCCAGGTCCTAAGCTGGACTCCGGTGCCGTGAGGTCAGGCTGCCCCACTGCAGGGTGAGTGGGTGACCAGGACAGCTTTCCCAGGGACACGTGTCATTTCCTGAGAGCTCCTGGGAGTCCCTGTCTGCCAAGGGGCAGGCAGCGTGATCAGCCTCCACACCCGGCACATCTGAGAGTCCGCTGTCACCATGGGCCATGAATTTGGGATTCCTGGTAGGCACTTACTAACCTTCTGTCCCGGTTGGAATTTCTCTCTGGTTTTTCTCTGTGGCACGTGGACTATTTCATAACAAAGTGGAGGCTGGGATCCCAGGCACGAGTGACAGTGCTGTACAGCCCAGAGGTATGGCATCCACAGATACTTCCAAAAACACTTGCCCTGGAGATGGCTGCTTCTGCTCTCTTAGAACGGAGAGCTCATTCTATGAGTGCTTGCATTGCCTGCTGAGGATTGTTCTCCTTTGGTGGAGTTTACAACCATTAACTACCCAGAGTGCATCATGGATATTCAAGAAGCTGTATTGGGACAGAGCCCGCAATGTTCAGCTAAAGAGAACGTGTGGCATTCTGGCATCAGAAGCTCAGGATTGCAAAGTTAAGCTCTCTGTTTCCTGCAGTGCTAAGGGCTCCGACCCCGAGACAAAACTCAAGGCTGCAAAGCTGTGCCTGGAAAAAGTTCCCCTGGAAACACACTCTTGACAGACCACCTCTCCCTGCCCCGCCCCCTTCACCATTGCTTTTCCTACTGGAAGAATGGGCCACCTTGTTTTTTCCACTGAAAACCAGATAAGCAATTGGCTCCTCAGAGGGTCCTTCAAGAAATTATGGAATTAAAAGAGAAGTTTGTTTTGGTGCAAACAAACAAAAAGGTGAAATGCATGCACAGTTCTTGCATACTTTGCATTTTCCATGAGCAATTTGAAGACTCCTTGTGTGCATGGATTTCAGATCCTTTGCACCAAGGTAAACTTCTGCTTTAACTCTGTTTTCCACTGTCAGGAGCAGTCTTATATTTCATTAAGAGCCACTGTCTTTGAACATGCTGTGCCCGGCTCAGCCTGGCCACTTGTTGTGTGTTGGTTCTATAAAGTGCTAGGAAGAGAGGTAATTGTTGGACACGTCCATAGTCAGGGATCCAAGCAAGCCAGTGGATTTTGAATTCCAGAGGAGTTGGGATGTGGGAGGCATCTGTGAGGTGGAAGGAGGGAGGGAGGGACAGACAGACAAGTGCGGTGTCTGTGCAGTCAGTAATTGAGAGAGCTTTTCATTTATGTCTTCCGATGGCCGCTTATTTTCCTGCTGGGTCCTGTAAAAGCCTCCGGGCTGAATTTCCTGTGATGTTCGATTGAGCATCACAACACACTGATTCCAGTCATGTTTGTGCCCTGTCATTTGCCTGGGTTGCCCTGGGCTCTGGAACTGTCACCCCGTCTCCCTCATTCACCCCAACCGGTCATCAGCCTCTCAGCTGAGGGCACAGCTTGGAAGCATGGTGGGGAGGGGAGGCACCACCTGGCTGGACAGGTGCAGCCAGGCTCAGAAACACAGGATGTGCAGGCGGGCAAGGGAAGCGCTTGTTCAGGTTTCCAAGAGGCTTCCTGCCTGCCTCTGATTGTCGCTGCTTGGTCGCAGCAGGAATGGGTTCCCAGGCGCTGCAGGTTCCCCGAGCCCAGGTCGGGATGAACCACGGTGCCTTTTTGCAAAGCCTCAGGTGGATCAGTACCCTCTGAAAACCAGCCTGAGCATGCACAGAGCTTTAACACACACTTCTCTTGTTTTCCAGAGAGAGGATGCAGGCTATGGAGAAGCAGATCACCAGCCTAACTGGCCTTGTGCAGTCTGCACTTTTTAAAGGGTCCATTACAAGTAATTACAAAGATGCCACTAGGTAAAGAGAAGCCAGCGAGCCGATGATGAGAAAATTCCATCTCTTTCTCTTTAATCATTAAGATCATTCATTCGTTAAATCCGTTTCCTTGTAATCATTTCAAGGCTGGAAATATTTGCATTTCTATGAATCATGGTGGTGGAGGTCATGGGGGGGTTGGTGTTTGTTTTCCTTATCTTTCTTGCTCAAAGTTGACACTTTGAGTCAAGAAGGGTGAGCGTGCTTCTCCATGCATGTCGCTTCCTGGGCCACTCACGGCGCCCACCATGTGTGTCCACACCCGCTCTCATGCCACAGCCGTGCGTGAGCCGGGAGTGTCAGACACATGCCAGGGCAGCCATCTCCATCCCGGCCCAGTGTGGTGCTGATGCTGAGAGACCCTCATGGCTTAATCGCATCACTGCGGGTTGCTTTGGAAAGGAAGGGGCGGGGCACTGGGGAACTCCATCAATGATTCTCTTTTTCTTTTATTCAGTGAGAAAATGATGAGACCAGCAGCCAGCAGGAGCCACACAGATGGCGCAGGTGAGTGAGTGACCTCCCGAGCTCCACCAGGTCTGAAGCCACTGTGCATGAACTCCAGCTCGTTCCACACACAGCTAACCTGTCCCCAGGGTCACCTGCTTGGTGCCACCCCACAGATGTCCGGCTAAGCCCCCACACAAGAGCAGTGATGCAAACAGAGGTCAGAGGGATGAACAGGACTGGGGAAGGGCAGGGAAGGGGTGAGAGGAGCTGTGGGAGTGGAAGGAATTAGCCCAGAGGGAAGCCATTGGAAAGTTCTGGGCCCAGAGAGGCTGTCACCCTGCAGTGTGGGCGTGGCTGAGAGCAGAGCAGAGAGGGGGTGACCGATGGTGGTCCCTCTGGGAGAGGGCAGTTCACGTGCTCCTACCCCTGGCTCTTCAGTGCCCGAATTCCAACAAGGGGGAGTCTCTGCAACTGCCAGGGGCATACTCTAACATCCAGCTGTGTGTGCCCCAGGTCCTGGGCTGCAGTCCCTGTGATGAGGGTGTGTGTGCCCCAGGTCCTGGGCTACAGCCCCCTGGTGTGTGTGCCCCAGGTCCTGGGCTGCAGTCCCTGTGATGGGGGTGCGTGTGTGCCCCAGGTCCTGGGCTACAGCCCCTGGGTGTGTGTGGCCAATGTCCTGGGCTGCAGTCCCTGTGATGGGGGTGTGTATGCCCCAGGTCCTGGGCTACAGCCCTCGGGTATGTGTGCGCCCCAGGTCCTGGGCTGCAGTCCCTGTGGTGGGGGTGTGTGTGCCCCAGGTCCTGGGTTGCAGCCCCTGGGTGTGTGTGGCCCATGTCCTAGGCTGCAGTCCCTGTGATGGGGGTGTGTGTGCCCCAGGTCCTGGGCTACAGCCCTCGGGTATGTGTGCGCCCCAGGTCCTGGGCTGCAGCCCCCAGTCAGTCCTCTGTAAAGTTAGGATTCCTTCACCCCACCCACCCCGGAATTACAATAGGAATCATACATGGGGGTGTGCCCAGCATGGGGAGGATTGGGTGCCAATCTTAACTTGGGGAAGCCACGTGGACTGGTTTTGAGCCACACAGGAGAGTGGACAGGACAGGGGACTTGGGCCCCAGGCCATGTTCGCCCTGGCCATGCCCTGAGTGAGCACAGTTCAGCTCTGAGAGCAGAGGGACTGCTTGTCCCGGTTCCCTGATCTAGATGGCACCGTTTGTTTTGCTACAGAATCAATCTGTGGCCTTGGCCAAAGGCAGAATTGCTACACTGGCCTTTGCAACAGTTGCCAGTTTGCTTTGGACATTGGTGTTCAGTCTGTTTCTTATTTCTTGGGGAAATGAGAGAGGAAAAAAGGAACAGACTGAACACTGAAACTTTACATCCCTTTTAATCCCTGGAGCAACCATCAATATTCAGTATTTTATTCCAGACAAGACATGCTGTTTTGTGTTCTCTTCTTCCTTTCCAGTTTTTAAATTTTTGCTTATTTATTTTCATCTTACTTGAAAGACAGAGCAAGAAGGAGAGAGAAAGAGAGAGAGAGAGAGGGACCTTCCACTCGCTGGTTCACTCCCCAAATGGCTGTAGCAGCCAGGGCTGGGCCAGGCTGAAACCCACAGCCAGGAACTCCATCTGGGTCATCCACATGGGTGGCAGGGACCCAAGGTCCTGGGCCATGGTGTGTGCCCCCCCGAGGGTCCCCATTAGCAGGAAGCTGGATCCAAGTGGAGCTGGGACTGGACCTGAGGCATGCCCCATGAGATGCCGGCGCCTTATCCACAGGGCCAGGCCCCCTCCCCTTCTTAACTTTGGGGGGATAACAGCAGCAGGCATGTCGGACAGCATCTGGCAGTGTTTCCTAACTCGTGACAGTAGCCTCAAGGGAAAGGTGTGACATTGAGAGAGAGAGAGACAAAGAGAGAGATCTTCCGTCTACTGGTTCACTCCCCAGTGCCCTCCGCACCCCCTGGCCAATAGCCAGGGCCGGGCCAGGCCATAGCCAGGAGCCTGGAACTTTATCCAGGTCTCCCACGTGGGTGGCCGGGACCCAAGTACTGCCTCCCAGGGAGCTCCATAGCAGCGAGCTGGCTGGGGAGCAGAGCTGGACCTGAACCCCGGCTGCTGTAATATGGAATGTGAGTGTCCCAAGCTGCATCTTAACCAAAAAGGAGCAATTCGAAGTCCCGTGTTCCACATGTATGAAACACATGGATACCGTCTGCTGTCACTGCCTCTCCCTTTGTGTTGAGCTACCCCAGTCCCTTCAAAGGGACCAGGGCCTGTTACAGGTGCAGGGAAAGAGCGAGGTGGATTCCCCTGGGTCCTTTCCCCAGTGGGACATCAGCTGAGTCTGCAAGACAAACAGTCCAGCTGCCAGGTTTTCTGTCTGTGATGCCACAGCAGCACCCCCATGCACGCATGCTCCCTTGGTCCCCACGTCTCTGCCCTTGGAGCCCATCAGGGCTGGGTCTCATGCGGTGGGAGCCCTGTATGGTGACCAGAATGTGTCCATTGCTGCAGAATCCGGGGAAGTGAGCCACAAGGCAGGAGGTAGGGTCCCCGCAGCATAGACGAGGAAGTGGAATGGTGGCCGTGGTGTGCAACCTGGAGAAACCGGTACTTGCAGGTTTCTTCGGGAAGGTGGTATTCGAGGCAGGTGGAAGAGAGCGGAGGGATGCTCCCATTCCAGTGCCTACCGGGTGTTGGATCATTCAACACACGTGGCCCTATGAGGGAGTTGTTGTCTGTATTAAAGAGATCAGCTCAGTGAGGTTGGCTTCCTTATTCGAAGCTGCACCACCAAAGGCAAGCCTTCGTCGCAGAGGTTGGGGTGCCCACGTCGCACATGCGAGGCTCAGGGCTCATCCTGGCCCCCGCTCCTGACTCCAGCCTTCTGCCGTTGCAGACCCTGGGAGGCAGCGGGGATGGCTCAAGTAATCAGGTCCCTGCCACCCACATGGGAGACCTGGATGCAACTCCTGGCTCCTGGCTTCAGCCCGGCCCAGTCTCGGCTGTTGTGGGCATTTGAGGAGGGAACCCGAAGTTGGAAACTCTCCGTGTCTCTGCCTGTCAGCTTAGAAAGCAGAAACAAAAAGCATGCGGCTAGTCCTAGTGACAGCCGGTCTGGCCAGCTCCTGAACCCGTGTTGGTACTGGTTTGATGTCGTTTTTGAAGAACACGGTGATGCTGTCATTCGTTGTGTGTGTGCATTTTTGTGTGTATGCGTGTGTGCGTGTGGGCACATGCATGCCTGTGCTTCTGCTTAGGGAATGAGCCATGTGGGTGGTTGTGACCACTCTCAGAGCAGCTGCCACCAGAGGGCGCCGTGCTCCTCTGACCCGCCACTGTTCCTGGCAACTCAACTGGAGGAGCCTCTTGTGAGCCCCTTTCTGGGGCTGATTCCGATTTGGTGGGTGGTGGGGGGACAGCAGACAGCCAGAAGCCTGTCAGAGCTGGGACTGGGGGTGGCGTGAGGCACCCTGGCTCCTAGCAGAGTGGACAAGGTCAGCGTCAGGTCTAGACCGCTGGACCCCTTTGCACATCCTTTCCAGTGCCTGCTGCCCTGCAGCCTGTGGGAGACCAGTTGTCCTACACGGCCACCCAGCCGTGAAGAACCCCAGGTCGTGTTCACGCTCTCCATCAAGGGGAGGAGGGCAGGGTTGTTTCTGGGAGCTGAGCAGACCCAGTAGACCAGTGGTGATCGCACACAGCTCTGCCTGAGGGTGGGACGCGCGTCTACTTGCTGCCGTGCAGGAGACAGCCACGCACACACACGCACGCCATTCCCAGAAAATGAAAAGATACGTTAATAAGGGTACAACGATGTTGAAATCCAGCTGTGGGTTTTTGCATAATAGGCATTTTAAGAGCCCTTGTAATGGGTTGCAGAACTTTAAAATTAATTTTTCTATGATAAAGGGATAGATGTTCACCATGACTTGAAAATGCAAAAAAAAAAAAATAGTAATAAAAAACATAAAACATTTGGAACTGCACCAGCTGGAGACTCCCTTAATCCTTTGGATCCACAAACCCCAAAATGCCCTAAAATCTGAAGCTTTTTTGTGTGCCAGCGGTTGCAGATTTTAAAGCATTTCCGATTTTGGATCTTCAGGTTGGGGCTGTCCAGCCAGTCACGTCTGTGCAAATATTCCCCAGATCTGAAGTCCTTTGGGTCCCAGGGGGTGTGGATAAGTGATGCTCAACCCACACCTGCGAACTTTGCCCAAATCTGTGTGTTTGAAGGAGAGAGGCAGACAGACCAGTAGGTAGGTAGATAGAGATAAGTGGGTGGCAAGGTGGATAGAGATTAGGCAGATAGGTAGATAGGTAAATAGGCAGGTAGATAGAAAGTAGGTGGAGACAGAAAGACACATAGCTAAGTAGGTAGGTAGAGAAAGTAGGTGGAAAGGTAGATAAGGATTACATAGATAGAAAGGCAGAAGGAAGTTAGACACATAGGTAGCTAAGTAAATAAGTAGGTGAGATAGATAAATATATGGGTACGTGGACAGGTAGGTAGGAAGTTAGAAATAAGTCGGTAGAAAAAGATGATACAGATGGATGGATGGATAGATGGACGAACTGACGAATGGACGGATGGATGGATGGACGGACAGACAGGCAGGAGCACAGGCCTTTAGCTTCCTTACCCCGGCACCTGCCCCCTGGCCACCTTCCTGTGGTCCTCACTGGGTGGAACATGGCTGGGGTCACACAGCGTGCTTTAGACGTGATGGTTACAGTGTGGGGGAAATGGATGTGTTTCAGGGGCCAGCTGGGGGGGGGCAGCTTGGGCCCCCTTTTCCCACATTCTCAGCTCCTTCGCTGCTCTCTCCTCACAGGCACACCCCACATTGCCGGCGGGAAGACCCTCGGTGCCCTGGAGCCCGCGGAGCCGCTGGGGCCACCCATGCCCGCCGGCACCTCGGCCGTGCACCTGAGCCTGCTGGACATGCGTCGCGGCATGGCAGAGCTCAGACGCCAGCTGCAGCAGATGCAACAGCTGCAGGTAGTGTGCGCATCCCTCTCCCCCCTCACCGACCCCTCCTCCTGTCCTATAGCTCGGCCACCACGATTGACAAATAGGAAAAAAGCAGACGAATCTGTGCCCTGGCTCAGGTCCTAGGGAACCAGGGGCTGCGGTCTCTGTGACACTGTGCGTTTGCGCCGTGTCGGCCTAACACCTCACTGCGTGGACAACGCTGGCCTCGCCTGGTGTCACCCGGATGCAGGCTTCTGCGCTGCCCTTGGGGAGCTCTCGTGCAGCACTGCTAAAAGCAAGTGCACTCAGGAGCCCGGTGCCCTCCATCTCCCCCCAGAGCTCCACAATGGAGAATTCTCCCATCACCTATCTAAGACTGACAAAGGGATTTCCCTGGGCCAAGAAGGGTGGTGTGCCCGAGGGCCCTGCCCCGAGGCCCCAGCGCCAGATGGGCCTGACCAGGCTGCCCAGTGTCCCCAGCTCCCAGGGCCGCTGCGTCTCTGTGCTTGGATAGCCAGCGCACGTCCACTTCCAGTCTGTGGCATCCAGGAAGTTCCCCACTGCTGGTATGAGCTCTACAGTCTTAGGGACACTTTGCAGGGTGGGCATTTGGCTTCGCGGTTAAGGCACTACCTTGCACACTGGAGTGCCTGGGTTCTGGTCCAGCTCTGGCTCCTACATCCGGGTTCTTCCCAGTGCCTGGTGATGGCTGCGGGGCTTAGGTCTCTGCCACCTACCTAAGAGACCCTGAAGGGATTTCCAACTCCCAGCTTTGGCCCTGGCCATTCCAGGCATTTGGAGAGCGAACCTACAGATGGGAGCTTTCTCTCTGTCTCTCGCATTTAAAAAGAAAAAAAAATTAAGACACTTTGCAATGAAATAAAGTGTCCAGGTCTGGCAGAGTCAGAAAGCTTCCTCGTCCAGCAGGTGGAAGAGAGAAGGGACAGTGGGCTGTGGTACGCTCTACCCAGCCAGCTGATAACCGGATGCCGTGAGACCAGCATTTGTAGGTGTTTTAGTGCTTCGAGGGAATCTTGGAATATGGGCTTTCTGTGAAATACCTCTTCCTTAAAATGTTGGAAAGTCACTGAAATCTCTGTTTCCAGTAGAGAGGGCCTTCCCCCAAACCCCTTTCTTAACCAGGACTTTGTGGAAATTAAGCCCCTTCACACACACTGTCCCTGCCTTCTGGCGCCACCTGCTGGCCATGCTGGAATTGTGCTCTCACTGGACCCAGCAGAAAAATAAGGCATGGTGGTGCACCAGACCCACCTGCTCTCCAAACCGGGCCCTTTCTGGTTGGAGACAGGAGTAGAGTTGCTTTGGTGTGAACCGCACGTGTGCCGTGGCTGTTTCATAGGTGTTAGAGACTAAGGTGTGGCACAGCTGGGCGTTCCCGCTGGCTCTCCCACCAGTGGCCACTCCTGACGGAATCACAGCCTCCTCAAACAGGTCAAGGTCAAGGTTCAGGTCTGGGATGGCGTGGGAATCACACCAGCGCCATGCTTGTTCCAGCACTGCGCAGCTGTTCCGGCTTCCTGGGTATAAAGGGCAGAAACACAGGAAGAGGGGGCGGCACCTCGTTCGGTGCCCTGGCTGACTCTGGGGTCCACGTCCCCTTCAGCTTCCCTCCCTGCCCACCATCTGCCCCTCCCGCCACGATTTGCAAGGGCCGCTCAGCCCCAGCTCTCCCCCAGCATGTGGGTTCCCACAAACCAGAGGGAAGCACGAGCCCAACGCGCCGACACGTCTGACAGTGGGGCCATCACCAGAGACACACGGAAGCCCCTGCCACGGTCTCACAAGAACAGAGATGGGCTGAGACGCTGAGATGTGCTGGGAACCGCGCTGTACAACAGCGAGACCACGTGAAGCCTTGTGCTTGGCAGCCAAGCTCTGGAAATCGGATGATGGAACCGTCGGGAAGTCCTCTTGCAACATTTGTCTTTCAGACTGATGGGTGATTCTTGGGAGGGGACACCTGGTGCAGCCCCCCCCCGGGGGGGTGGATTTCAACAGGGAAGAGGCTGTTTGGTAAGGCAGAGGGTGGCCCGTGGTCACCCTTCCCCGCACATCTGTCTACTAGGATTCATTTGTTTGAAAGGGTCTGACCTCATCGGCGTGGACTGGAGCATAGGCAGGGGGAGCCTAGCAGGTTCTGGGAGTGCTAAGCCCCCCGAGGTCCCTCCCGCAGGTAGCACAGAGGGTGACACAGTGGCAGGAGAGCTGACAGGGGCTCTGCGCCATGTCCCCATGCCCACAGGTGGCCTGTGGTTAGCTGGGGCGGTGTCTTTCCCATGATGCCACAGGACCTGATGTTACTAGGATAATCAGGACAATCCTATATCCACAGAAGGGACTGTACTTTGGTCCCTTTGGGAGGCGCTGAGGGGTGAGAGAAGTTTCTAGAAGCAGAAACTTCTGGGAGAAAGATGAGACCTGACCCAAGTTGAGAGAATGGATGCATTCCGTTTCTCTAAATTCCCACTGTTGCTCACTCCATCTCTTGCTTCCTGATAAATTAAAAAAAAAACAATAGGTTATTTTTATTCTGGTCATAATGTGGCCTTTTGTAGATTCCTGAGAATTGCTGCCCCTTCCCATGAGAGGGAGAAGATAGAACAGGAGCCCCAGCACCCAAATCTCTTATGTTTGAAAGGATATCATTCAGAACACTTGTCTCCACCTCTCTGCTCATCAGATAGAACGGGTCCAGGGCCCCAGTAGCCCACTGACATCCAAAGAGAGAGCCAAGGGAGCTCTCGGAGTGTCCCTGTGGAGAGCTTGCTGGGGCGTGGTCCACGTGGAGTGGGCCACGCAGGACGGGCAGTGGGATGAGCACAGGGATTGATGTTGGACTGCCATTTACTCCAAGCCTTTGTCACATCCCCCGACAGCCAGAGGCTGTGGGAGATGCAGAGACAGCACCCGCAGAACATACAGCTGTGACCAGGTACCCTCCGTGCTGGTCCCTGAAGCGTGGAGGAACTTAGCCTGGAGGCCAGGGCTCAGTCTGGAGCCCAGCTGTCATCGTGGAACTTCTGGACTTGCCGCTCATAGACCATGCAGGGCCCCTGCTGAGGAGCAAAGCCAGAGTCAGTGTGGTTATGGCGCCCCCTGTGGGCAAGCCCCACAGTCTCGGGATTTGCCTAAGAAACCAGGATTGGGTATGTGAACTACAGGTCCATTTGGAGGTGGGTGGAATTAGGTTTAAGTAACTTTCTAGTTTCTTCATGAAGTTATTATGGGTAGCTTATGTAGTCCAATTAAGATTTTAATGGCCAGGAGCATTATTTCTGTCTAAGGATGCTTGTCAATAAACTGCTTCCAGGCAGGAGGGAGGAACTGCCTGGCCTTCCTGCCATTAGCAGCTAGGAAAGTGGAAGGTAGATAAATACACAAAGCAATGGTGTTGACATTGGACAGCACACAGCATGGGAGTGTGACCCTACAGAGAAGGGAAGCTTAGGATTCACGTGGCTTTCTGGATGGAGGCACCACGCAGATATGACACAGACCCAGAGCTGGTGAGCAGGACACAGTTATCAGAGCTGCGAGGTCAGTGTGTATAGAGAGCATGTGAGAAGGCGCTACGGACATCTGTGGGTCTGTGAGTGAGCAGTAAGCTACGCACGGGTGGTAGTGAGCTCACACAGCCTGGAAGATGACCACCCTCTGACAAGCAAGCGTGGAGAGGCGGAGTTGCGCCGCTGGGTTTCAGTCTTGGTGCTGAAGTAGCCCTGGAGGAAGGCTGCCCTTGATTCCAAAAACGAGTCTCTGAAGAGCAAAGTCCGTCCCCGATGCAGCGGCCTCCCAGGAGTCCAAGACCCAGAAAGGAAAACAGCAGGATTGCACGTCCCATGCCCAGCATCCAATCAGAAATTAGGGTCTTCAAGAGCTGGGAAATAGGGTCTTCAAGAGCTGGGAAACACAGAGTATGAATGGACCTCATAGAAGATTAATCACAGCCCGAACATGGAATCAGTCAAGTTGAAAACGTGATGGAGGCTGTCCAGATGGAAGCATAGAAAGACAGAGGCGTGAAGACAGTGAACGGAACTACAGTGACCCATGGGGTAGTGGTAAGTGATCCAAGAGAGAGGGAAAGACAGTTCAAGAGATAATATCTGGGCCAGTGCCGCGGCCTGGGAACCGCTGGCCTGGAAGGAAACTTTCTTAACTTGATGGAGGATACCCAAAATAACCTACAGATGCATTATAGTTGATTAGGAAACACTAGACACATTCCCAATATTTGTATGTCAGCATTTTGTCACACAAATTCCCGAGAGAAACTGCCACTGGCAGAAGGAGCTGTAAGGCAGCTGAGTGTTTGGAGATTCACAGTACGAGATCACATGGCCCCACTGATTTGGCGTCTGATGGTGGAGGTGGGTGGTGGGAGCCGAGGAGGCTCACTCCGCAAGCCAGGAAGCAGAGAGAGGAAGCAGGCTCCCAACCTGCGTCTGTGCCGTCCCTCCATATAAAACCACCCTGACTAATCGGGGGCTCCACCAGTGACCCCAGCAAATCTGATCACGTCCCAAAAGCCCCACCTTTTCACACCATAATCAAAGTTCATACCCCAGAGCCATTAACCATTTTAAAAGTTTTATTTAAGGCAGAGTTATGGAGACACAGGGAGAGACAGACAAAAACAGAGATCGATTTTCCATCTATGGGTTCACTCCCCAAATGGCCACAACAGTTAGGGCTGGGCCAGGCTGAAGCCAGGAGCCTGGAACTCCATCCAGGTCTCCCATGTGGATGGCAGGGGTCCAAGCACTTGAACCATCTTCTGTTGCTTTCCTAGGCACAGTAGCAGGGAGATGGATAGGAAGCAGAGCAGCCAGGACTCAAACTCATGCTGTTATCACAGGCAGCATCTTAACCCACTGTGCCATAATGCCAGTCCCCAATCAATTGACCATTAACATGAGATTTGGGGACCCTTAAACACCCAAAGTACTAATCAAACCACGGCACTGGCAAATCCTGGGCCAGACCTGGCATTTGGTTCTCTGTGACATCATACAGAAGAGCCTACCAAGCACAGTAAAACCAAGGAATAACACAGAGGTAGACAGATGGGAATTGAAAAGTATAGTTGTTTATACTCGCTAATGACATCATTGTATGTCTGAAGTCAGGAGTTCGGAACCTGCAAAAGAAAATCAGTGAATTTGGCAGATCACCAGAATCAGGTTAATGTACACAAAGCTAAAATGTTTAGTAGGTGCATACACAACACCTCTCGGCACTAAAACGAATGACTCACTGGAAGATGGGACACACGGCTGCGAGTTGAAAATAATGCCTGGAATGAAAGAAGCCAGACACAAGGGATTGCGTTCTCATGGGTGTGGTTCCATTTGTGTGACTTTCCGGAACTGGTGAAGCTAATGCAGTGACAGAAGTGGGTTAGTGGTTTCCGTGGGCTGGGGGTAGGGTGTTGAAGGCAGAGGGTCGTGGAGGAGCTATCTGAGGTGACAGAAAGCGTTGTCTCCTTGTTCAGTTGTGGCTTTGTTTGTCGAACCTCCACCGTGCATTTGCAATGCGTGCATTTCATCATTCTTAAATCGTACCTCCGTAGAGTTGATTAATTTTTTCTAACAATTGTAGTCGAAGGCTCACCTCCCAACTTGATGGTCTGAGATGCTGAGAACTGACTTACTGGAAGCCATAAGATCCCTATCCGGGCTTTGGGACTCTTTGCTCTCTGCTGGGGGGAACAGGGACAGAGCTGTGGCTTGAACACCAGACAGATGGGGTTGGGGGCGGAGGAGACTGCACAGAGGTGTATGCGCAATTCACTCGCCATCGCCTGCATGTGCTGTGAAAAATGCCCTCTTGGTGCCCTGGTGGGATCCCACCCAGCCCCTCTTTTTGGGAAGTCTGATAATAAACTGGAATGCGCTCTCTCTCCCTGCTCCTTGTCTGACGGAGTGGGTCAAGTAGCACGCGGTTCTTTCCTGCACTGGAGTTCTCCCAGCACGGCCACTGCCTTCTCACAGGTGTCCCTTCGACCTTGATTTGCAGGACATACCCACGGGTACTTGAGAAAACCGATGGGATTCAAAGATGAATGGTGCAAGAGATTTTGAAATCCACGCCTCGCGTTCTCAGGATATGCACGTGCTATGAACTCTTGAAGCTCTCTCGTGTTGGGGGGAGTACCTGCCGTGTGCCAGGAACTGTGATTGGAGCCGCAAACAAAGCAGACAGGGTTCCTGTCTTAGTTAGAAGTGCACCTTGGGGCCAGGGTGGGGGCGGGGGAGGCAAGCAATTGGGTTGAGTTCGAATGACCAGGTCCCAGTCCTGCCTGTGCCTTGTCATTGCCAGGCGATCCCCAAAAAAGTTGTTTGAACTCTGGGGGCTCCACGTTTCCCGTCTTTTGAGCTTGGATATCAAGTTTGTTCAAATATCCCGGTAGTTAATTTCCATCTTGGTTGCCATTGTTCATATCTGCTACCCACGAGAGCATGGGTCACTGCAGATTTCACCGTCTTAGACAACAATTTCGGATTCGCCACGGTTGGCTGTGACTGTCAAACATCCCTGCTCTGTTCAGTCTACTCATTCAACAGATCCTTAGTGGGCTTCTGCTCACAGTCTCCCAGAGACTGCCGAGAGTAGAAATGGAACAGGAGCTGGGACCCGCAGCTCCAGAATGCCTGCGACAGACAAGAGAGTGCCTGGTCTGGAGAGGGTGCAGGACGCGTGCAGTGGGAGGTGCCCGACCGCAGACAGAGGCGCCACCCTGTCCAGCGCCTTGTGGGCAAAATGGCAGCAGCAGAGCGGCCAGGAGGAAGCTGGCCTCTGAGTGCTGCCCCCCTCCCCCCACTGATTGTGTTCAGCAAGCCAGATAGTGCCTGGCTGGCTGTTTTGAAGACCCTAATAAAAGGACTTTAGCCAGCAGCATGCATGATGTGGTGCTGAGTCACACATCACTGGGACTGGCATGGTTCTTTCTATTCTGCCCCAGACTGAACTGCAGCCCACCCCCACCGGCTTCAGGCTCCCCAGTAGCAACAGCTGCCATGTGCTCAGGGCTAGAACTCTACCAGACACCTCCATCAGCCCGCTCATTACCGTCTCGCGGGATCTGCACAACCAGCCTGTGAGCCATGAGCTGTTACTTCCACCTTTTGATGGACAGACACAGAGATTGACAGCTGGCCGCTGGTCACCAGGCTCCGAGGTGGTGAAACCAGAAAGGGAGCCCCTGGCAGTCTTTGTCAGAGGCCAGGCTCATGTTGGGGCCCAGCGGGGCCCATGCAGAAAGGGTTGTGCTTTAGAGGAAAAGCAGGATGGAATGAGATTTTGAGCAGGTGTAACCAATCAGGCTGCCCTGCCCCTCCACGTGTGCAGAGTGGACTGGCCCAAGGCTGGGGACAGCCACAGCAGTGTAGACCTGTCTGTGCAATCAGGCGGCCACCAAACCGTGTCCGTTGAAGTTCCAGAGGAACCGGAGGGATTGTGTAACAGGCAGACCATCATTACTGTCGATGGGGGAATCCTGGCAGCCACCTTGCTCTTCCCTGTACTCCTCTATAGTTGCAGACACAAGTGTGTTCCAGAAACTATATGGGCATCATGGGCTTGGGGACAGAAGCAGCCCGTGTTAGATCCTGGGAAATGGGTAAGCTGCCAAGAGCCCTGGGCACATCTAGAACACTCAACGCCACCATCGCCAAGTCGCGTGTTCCAAGGACCTGTGATTTCATGCTATCTGGTGCATGGAACCATGCACCCAAGCAGGAGACAGTGTCTCCTTTAAGTGACATTCTAAAGAGGTTCCTGGCCAGATCAGCATTTGTTAAGGACATGTTCTGCACCATGAAGAATCCTTGAGGGCTACGCCAGACCAAAGCCAGGAGCCAGGAACTACATCTGAGTCTCCCACGTGGGTGGCACAGCCCAGGTACCTGTGCCGTCCCTTGCTGCCTTCCCAGGTGCAACAGCAGGGAGCTGGGTTGGAAGCAGAGGAGCCAGGGCTGGAGCTGGACTTGGAAACAGGATGCCAAGTAAACAGATCCTTAGTCTGCTGCACCACAAGGCCGGCCCGGGGCCCCATCTTCTAATACCATTTGCATATGGCTGAGGATGAGAGATTTTGACATTTTTCGTGATTTGTTTTTCATTTTATTTGAAAGGACAGAGATCGTCTGTCTGCTAATTCACTCCTCAAAGGCCTGCAACATCCAGGTCTCCCACATGCACCCAAGCACTTGCGCCATCACTGCTGCCTCCCAGGGAGTGGGTGGGAAGTGGAGCAGCCAGGACTCAAACCGGCACCCATTTGGAATGCTATAGGCGCTATATATGCTATATAGTGCTATCAGCAGCAGTGTGGCCTGCTGAGCCATGGCACCAGCCCTGAGGACTCAGGTTCAGTGTGAGTGTTGTAGGGGACAAACACCCAGCCTGTTTCCAACAGAGATCAAGAAAGCCTAAGAGAGAAGTGCAAAGTCTCACTGTGAGCTAGGAGAAGTTTTGGGGACTGTGACCCAGAGCGTCCATGGCTGCAGAACTGGGGCCCTCGATTGCTCCCTCCCTATGCAAAGGTGGCAGACTTAGGCACACGGGTCTGGTTGCTTGGTGGCTGCTGGAACTCAGATGTTGGGAGAAGCAGCAGTGCTCGGTACAGCGTGGGCGCTCTTGCCTTTCTCGCTGAAACAAATACATTAAAAAGCAGCGGGGCTGTGACCTCCCAGCACCCGCCGAGGTCCATCTCTTTCGTCCCGCAGCTGCAGAACCAGGAGCTGCTACCCACAATGATAAAAAAGGCAGAGCTGGGGATCAGCAGCAAAGTCGCGGAGACCATGAGGCGCCTGGAGGACCCCGTGCAGCGACAGCGCACCCTGGTGGAACAGGAGAGACAAAAGTACCTCCGCGAAGAGGGAGGATTGGCCAGAAGCTAAGGTGAGCACCTGCGGCTCCAGGCCCTGGGCACCTTAGCCTGGAAGGAAAAGCGGTCTTGGCCAACAAAGAGGCCCTTCTGGTTAGTGTTCTCGCCTCTCTTTAGCGAGCACCGACTGTGTACAAGTCAGAGTGGTGCTGGGTTGTGAGTATCCAGGGACCTCAGGCCCCCCCTCCATGTAGGCCCAGGAGACTTCAGCCAACCTCAGGCCGACTGCAGCACCCGATCTTTCCCAGAATTCAGTGTCAGGTACAAATGCCCAGCACAGTGACCCATGGGAAGTCTGTGTCACATCCACACAACTCAGACTCCTAGCAAGAACAACCCAACCCTGAAATTATCTCCCTATCATCCAGCTGTAGTTGAGATCACAGGAGAATCTAAATGCAACATGTTCCCCCGGTGCACCCGATCTTGTAAAGGTTCTCACTGAAAAGATCCCAAGTCCCACCATTGAAAGGAGCAGAGTTGTATGTCTTCTCCCCCATGAGGCTGCTGCATCTGTCATTTTAAAAATACTCATTTTATTTATTTGAAAGGCAGGGTTACAGAGAGAGAGAGAGGGAGAGAGAGAGAGAGGTCTTCCATCCACTGGTTCACTCTCCACATGGCTACAATGGCTGGGGCTGGGCCAGGCTGAAGCCTGGAGCCAGGAGCTTCTTCCAGGTCTCCCATGCAGGTGCAGGGGCCCAAGCACTTGGGCCATCTGCTGCTTTCCCAGGTGCATTAGCAGGGAGCTGGACGGGAAGTGGAGCAGCTGGGACTTGAACCGGTGCTCATATGGGATGAATCCGCAGGTGGCAGCTTATCCGGCTGCCCACGTGTTTTATGTTAACGTTTAGTTGTGCACGGAAGATTGACCGTGGAACTTTTCACTTTTTAGATAATGAATATTCACATTTCTGGGTCCCTTGGTGTGAGTAATTCTCTTGTTTCTGGGAAAGCCGAAGTCTCCCACATTGGGGGACACTCTGTCCCATCTCCCGTCTCACATTCAAGCTACAGCCCAGGTCCGCCTGAGGCCAATCCACTGTGTTTGATGAGAACTAAAGCATCCCTCTTAACATTGTCAAGGGGGAAAAAAGATCAATGTATCATTGCCCCCCCCCAAATTAAATTAGGCCACTGTTGATCCACATTTTCTGAAATCCCTCTCCACTCATGCACTTGGAGAGTTAATCACCCACTGTGAGCTGGTAAGGGCACTACTTGTTTTTTGTCTGAAATGTTTTTTGGAACAGCCCTGTTTTTTTAAAACTGGGTTTTCCAAAAGAATCTGGAAAACGCATTGTTTTATAGACTCACATGGCAGGGTTCCGTGCACCTGTTGTAAGGTGTGCGTGGGTTCACCAATGGGACGGACGTGGAGGCGAGAGTGTGTTGTCAAGGACAGCTGGAAACCTCAGGTCTGGAGCACCTGTACCTCCACAGCCATCTCCTTCTCTCCCTCCCTCCCTCGCCCCTTCCTTCTATGTCCACACGAGAAACCGGCTCCTGTTGGGCCGAGTCCCTGGGGAACCGTTCACATGGCAGACAGACAGATTTTGAGCCTACAGCTGAAACTATGGAGAGAAGTGGGGTGAAGATCCTTTCTCCTTCATGGATTCCTGATGGCAGGAGTAGATGGATCTCTAATGAAAGAGGTCTGAACAGATGTTCTGCTCCTTTGAGACAAAGGTCAAGTGCAGGCCCTACCTTACACAGGAGGCTACAAATGCAGCATCTGGCTGTTAACTGATCTCAGCCGCTATTCCAAAAGTTGTCTTGATAACAGGATCAGACACGGGGTTCAGCAAGTATTTCAGCTCCGTGGTTTCTGTCCCAGCTTTTGAGTGAACGATTTGATCTGTGATGCTTCATCTAAAGTACGTCTCAAAAAGCCTGGGAGCTTTGTGCACAGTGCAGTCCACGCTCGCTTCCATGTCCCATGGTCCCTGCACGAGAGCTGTGGTGGAGTTTTCGGGGTCTCTGCTGTGTGCAGGTCCCGAAATCCACAAGGCACAGTGTGCAGATGATGTGGAAGTAGAATTTGAGGAAGTGGCTTGGGCGGACGATGGCTCTGTGCAGGAGCTTGGGCTGTGCACGCAGCCCTGATGGCACTCGGGTCTTCGCTGGTCTGTCCAGTTCACCCTGCAAAGCAGTGCTCTTTGGGCACAAAATGCAGAAGCACCTGGAGCTGCCAGGGGGTCCTGGGCCCTGGGCCTCCAGGATGCAGGGCTGTGGGAGGGGTCCTGGCAGAGCCTCGTCCCATCCAAAAGATGCAGCGGCAGCCTCCATAGCAGAACGAGAGACAGCACGGGCGCTCCATGCTGCTCCAGGAAGGAGGATGAATTTGCCCTATCCCTGTGGTCCTGGTTGGACGTGAGAACGGGGGCCCTGCCCGGACCCCTCCTGCAGCCACCATGCTCTCAGAGGCTCTGTCTCCTTGGCCACATGCCCCCTGGTCTTCCTGCTGCGGGCTGCAGGCTCAGAGTTCTTGCGGAGGCACCACTGTCTCTCTGCTACCACCTAGTGGTTCCTTTCTCACTGCTCCTTGCCCCCTAACCTTTTCAACAGGGGTTTTCACTCCTTGGAGCTCCAGGCAAAGCTGCAGGGATTGGGGAGAGACACCAGCGACCAGCGGGCTTAGTCTCCTGCCCCAGGGCACGATGCAGGTGCTGCTGCTGGACGCAGCTCTGTTGGAGAGAAATTTGTCCTCACTGATGGCACAGTCAGGGGTGTGTGTGTGGGGGGTGCTCAGTCAGGGGCAGCCTGTTCCCCCACCCCCAGAGATAGCCAACAGTGCTTGGGGACTGGGGACAGCCCTGCTTATCACAGCTGGGTGACTGAGGGGCATTGCTCCTGGAGAGCAGAGATGCTGCAGAAAACCTGAGGGGGCACAAGACAGCCCCTCCCCCTACACACACGAAAGATGCCAAAGGCTGAAGTTAAAGACCTATGGACTAATCCCACAGCCACAACACCTCTCTCTCCCTCTTTCTCTCCCTCTACCTACCTCTCTCCCTCTCTCATCCTCTCCATCTCTCTCCCTTTCTCTCCCCTCCATCTCCCCCTCCTCCTCTACTGCCAGCCCTCTTCCCCTCCTCTTACCCCTCCCCCTCCCCATCTCCATCCCCTTCCCCTCTCCCTTTCTCACCCGCTCCCCCCATCACAGTGTGTGCTGGCCCCTCCCTTAGCGGTCATCACTACCCCTGGCCGTGACCAGTGGGTGTTGTTGAGCCGGACACAGTGTCCCCTTGGCCAGCCCAGGGCCCACCTGGGGATGCTTCCTGGTGCCCGCGGGGGTTACGCGGTGGCTGTGGGAGGTGCAGGGCTGGGAGCCTGGGTGCTGAGCCCCACCTGTGGTCTGACTACCCTGCAGCGAGCTAGAGGAATTCATGGACGACCTGAAGAAGGGGCCCACAGCCACGGTCCATGCCGTGATGCTGAAAGACGTGGAGGACGTCCCACCTCCTGCGGCAGGTGGGAGAAGCCGTGGCTGCCCTGAAAGGTGGGAGAAGCCGTGGCTACCCTGAAAGGTGAGCGCCCTGCGGATTCTGGCCTGCAGCCAGCACTAGTGGGGGCGGGGAGGCGCGCTGCTGGGGACATCTGCCCTTGGAGAGGGGCTTCCGTGACAGGCCCTAGGCCCAGCTGACCTCGCCCCAGGCACGCCCCCCTCCCCGAGATCTCACTGCCCGCTCTGGCCCGCAGGGGAGTTCCCCACCCTGCAGAACAAGATGCGTGCGGTCCTGCGCATCGAGGTGGAGGCCGTGGGCTTCCTGAAGGAGGAGCCGCACAAGCTGGACTGGCTCCTGAAGCGGGTGCGGGGCCTCACAGACGTCCTGATGGTGCTGAGCAGGTGAGTGGCCACCCTGCACCGGCTGCGCTGATACGGGGCGCTGGGGTAGGGTGGGGCCGCTGGGGTGGGGCGGGGCCACCAGAGAAAAGAAAGGTGGGATTGGAGGAGCGAGGAGCAGGGCCAATAGGGAAGAGAAGGGCAGGATCGGAGGGGAGGGGCCCTGGGGCAGCTTAAGTGAGGCGGGGCTGCTGGAGAAGGGTGCGGGGCTGGAGGGCGGGGCTTCTGAGGTGGAGTGGGGGGAGGGGTCCCCAGTGAAAAGGGCGGGATCGGAGCTGCGGGGCTGACGGCTGGGCGGGGCCACCAGAGTGGGGCCTGGTCAGGAAGGCCTGGGTTGCTGTGTAGGACTCCCCGGCTCTGCCAAGTCCCACCCATCTCCTTGCTGTCACTCATCAGGACTCACTTCTGGTGTGCTGATCAGAAGCCTGGACTCCCTCCTACCTTGAATTTCTATTGCTCTATGAAGTAAGGGCCTAATTGAGCAACACATGCTTACTGTACTGTGCCTTCCAGGGCTTAAACTTCAGTAGACATCTTTTTTTTTTTTTTTTTTTTAATAAAGGAGGGATTTTTTGCAAGAACGTTTTGAGGCTGAACAGTGGGTTTGCCTCCTTTGCTTCAGGACAGGAGAAGAAATGGTGTTGAAACCAAGTCTTAATGCAATTACCAACTGAAGGTGTAGGAGGGAGAAGCAAGTCCCCCTTGAGGGGCCCAAGCCAGTTACCCCAATTGAGGGAGAACCCCCGCATCAGCCAGGGTCACCATGTGGCAAAGGACCCAAAGAAACCACAGGCTCATCGGGCACTTCCCTGGAAAAGAAGATTCCAGAAGTCCACACCCACTAGCACTGTGCTGGTCCACGCTCACTAACACTGTGCTGGTCCACGTGTGTGCAGGGTTTGTTTCCAGGAGCACTTTTGTGAGGGACCCCTCTTGTTAAGCAAACACAGGCAGCCCACGGCCTGGCAGGTAACTCTGCCCCTGTGGAAGAATGTAGCTCTGTGTCTGCCTTCCCTCCAGTGTTGACTGCCACGTGACGTCTTGTCTCTGAAACCACCAGTGGGGAGAGTGAGGCAGGACACCAGTTAAATAACTGAAAATAAACAGAAATGGGAAGGGCATTTCGGCTGCCATCAGGACCCAGGGGATGAGGCGGGAATACGCACATCCCGAGGTCGTGCACGTGTCCTGTTCCACACCGTGGTGGGGAAGGGGAGGCAAGCACCATGCACAGTTCAGAGCAGACTCTGGGGGTTGCCAAGCGACAGCCGTGTGTCCCTATATGTAGAACTTGAGACATGGGAACCACGTCCCAACAGAGGTGCCCACTAGGGTACTGCAGACTTCAGCTGAAGTTCAGAAGACAGCTAGAGGGGGTCCCTGCCTTAACTCAGAGGGAGGGGCTGGGAGCAGGGCGGGGCTTGGAGATTCAATGCACTGAACATGCAAAGTAAGGAGCAAGAAATAAAGTTGAGGAGCAGAGGAGAGACTTGTGATATCTTTTATCAAACCAAGAAAGGAAGAAAGAGCATTTTTTAAGATTTATTTTTGCTTATTTGAATGGCAGAATTAGAGAGAGGGGGAGAAAGAAACAGAGATCTTCCATCTGCAGGTTCACTCCCCAAATGGCTGCAGTGGCTGAACCCAGCAGACGGGAACTCTCTCCAGGTCTCCCACGAAGGTGTCAAGGGCCAAGCACTTGGGCCATCTTCTGCTGCTTTCCCAGGTGCGTTAGCAGGGAGCTGGATGAGAAGTGGAGCAGCCAGGACTTAAACCAGCACCCATATGATATGACAGCAGGGCAGACAGCAACTTGACCCACCACACCACAATGCCGGCCTAGGAAAGAGCATTTTAATAGGAAGGGGGTGGGGCTGGAGTGCGACAGAGCTGGTTAAGCCACCACTTGCAACACCAGCATCCCGTATCAGCACCAGAGTCCCAGCTGCTCTACTTCAGATAGAAGACAGTGGAAGATGGCCTAAACCCTGGGGCCCCTGCACCCACATGGGAGACCCAAGTGGAATTCTGGGATCCTGGCTTGTGTCTGGAGGCCATTTGAAGAGTGATCCAGCAGATGTATGATCTCTATCTCTCCCTCCACCTCTTTGTCACTCTGCCTTTCAAATAAATAGATAATGAATGTTTTTTAAAGAACGGTGGAATTCCCAGGTGTGATGGTGAGACCAAGTAGAACTGGTCTCACACAGAGGACTCTCTGGCCCCCAGGCCTCGTCATTCCCATGGGTAGGGATGGACACACAGCCTCATGTGACTCTGAAACATGGCAGGGTGAGGACTGAACATAAGGTCATGGTCACCGCTGACCCTGTGGGAAGATGAGGCAGCCAGAGAGCCCCAGCAGAAGGAACTGGAACACAGCAGGAGGCCGTGGGTGAGGACTGTTTCCCGGGGCCATGGGGGCTGGGTTCAGGTGGAAGCCACACGCAGAGAGAGAGAGTGTGTTGTTGGGTCAGGTTGTCCGCACCATGGCACCGGCACCAGCACCTGCACAGTGAAGGGATGGCGGCAGGCACCACAGCGCACCAGGCAGGGCAAGCAGCTGCAGGGGTAACAGCTGGACCCATGAGGGGGTCCGGAATTTAAAATGAAAACCCACACCCCGGAACTAACACTCTGCTTTAACAGCATTTCCGGCCGGCTCCGCTAGGTGGTGACACCGGAAGTGACTGGTCTTGGCTAATGCTGCCTCACACCTGCGCGTGCTCTCTCCTAGGCATCTGACCAACAGGCTCCTGAAGGGCGCCAATGCCGCCCAGGCCACGCACTACATGGCGGTGGAGAAGGCCATGGCCGCGGAAGTCCTGGGGGGACCGGAGGACTGCGGCCCAGCCCGCGGTGACGTGAAGCTGGACGTGGTGCCCCTGACCGGGCAGCAGGCGCAGAACCCGCCCGGCCCGCTCGCGGAGGACGCCAGGACCAGAGCCGCGGCCGTGGAGGTAGCGCAGGCCCGTGGCAGGGTGTTGGGTCTCCAGAGGCCTTGGGTCTCTGGGCGGGGAGAGAGGCCCAGCCTACAGGCCTGGGAGAGCCCCTGCAGGTGTAACCACCCCTCCCCAAGCCCTGCCAAGACAGCAAAAGCGCCAGGTGTCCCCCCAGGCCGGCGGTGGACCCAGTGCCCAAGATGCTGCTAGCCAGACCACCTCCGATAGCAGAGCACCTGGGGTCCAGGCCCAGTGAACTCCCAGTCCCAGCCGGGGCGGTCTTCCACTGCTCTCCCAGGCCATAGCAGAGAGCTGGACCGGAAGTGGAGCAGCCAGGACTCGAACCTGCACCCCTATGGGATAACCGGCACTGTGGGTGGAGACGTAGCCCACTAGGCCACTGTGCCACAGCGCAGATATGTTTTTAAGAGTAGGCAGGTGTTTAGGAAAGTGGTCCTCCTATGTTCCCTGTTGCAGAACTCTCCAGAATCTAGATGCCCCCACCCCCACCCCCACCCCCACCCCTGTTTTAAAGTGAGAACCCGGGGTCCTGGGGGTCTTAACTGGTGGCAGTTCTTCCACTTAAGTGCAGCTGAGCCCTTGGGATGGTTTCGGTTCTTAGCAGGTGTTGCCCCCAGCCCCACGATGGGAGAAAACAGAGTTGGTAGTGGGAGACGGCCCCTAGGCGCGCGTGACCCGGGTGCTGGTGGGCGTGTGTGTTGCATCCCCTAATCTGAGTGCTCTGGGAGTGTCTCTGGGCCAGACGGCACCTGTCCCAGCACAGGTGGCAGCAGAAGGGAGAGGGGGCCTGGGCCCAGGCTGTCCTCTGTCCACGCCCACCCCCACCCCTCAACAGGAATCCCCAACACGGCCACGCGCTTTCCCTCTGAGTTCTCGTTTTTGTTTGCTTTTTTTCCCTAACCTTTCTTTACTTGCTGGTTCCCTTCAGAAAGCTGAAAAGAAATGAGAAAAGGCCGGACCTGGACCACTACAACGGCAAGGAGTTTGAGAAGCTACTGGAAGAAGCTCAGGCCAACATCATGAAGTCCATTCCAAACCTGGAGATGCCGCCTGCGCCGGGCCCAGCACCCAGGGGAGAGGGCATAGTGGACAAGCTGGAGCTCTCAGGTGAGCTCTGGGTCCCAGTGGACGTCTAGGGTGCTGTGTGGTGCCACCCCTGGGATAGGGTCTGGTAACTGGGCCTGTGTCTCACTGCTCAAGAATCTTGGGCAGGAGGTGAGGGGTCCAGCACTGTGGCGTCGTGGGTAAAGCTGCTGCCTGCAGTGCCGGCATCATATATGAGCACCAGTTGGTGTCCTGGCTGCTCCTCTTCCGATCCAGCTCTCTGCTATGGCCCAGGAAGGCAGTGGAAGATGGCCCAAGTCCATGGGCCTCTACACCCACGTGGGAGACCTAGAAGAAGCTCTGGCTCCTGACTTCGGATCCGCGCAGCTCTGGCCTTTGTGGCCATCTGGGGAGTGAACCAGCAGATGGAGGACCTCTCGGTCTTTCTGTACCTCTCTCTGTAACTCTTTCAAATAAGTAAAATAAACTTCTAAAGAAAAAAAAAAAGTGGAGCAGCCGGGACACCAACCGGTGTTCTTATATGATGCTGGCATTGCAAGCACAGCTTAACCCACAGAGCCACAACACAGGCCCCGAAGGTACTACTGTTCTACCCATTTGACAAGTGAAGAAACTGAGGTAGAGGTGGATACTCACGCAGGGTCTCTCTGGGTCTGGGTCTACACCCGCAATCATCCCTCCATACAGGGAATTCTTCCATTGGATGGCACTGTTATAGCCCACACTGACCCGTGGATGGTATCTCGCAGAGAGTTGATGTTTGCGATGTCACCCTGTTTTCCAGAAGACTCTCCAAATTCAGAGCAGGGGGGAAAGTCACCATCCCCTCCTACCCTGCCCCCTCGGCGAAGCTACCTGCTGGGATCCAGGCTCACCACCACGAGGTCAGGGGACGTGGTCTACACCAGCAGGAAGGAGACAGTCACGGCCAAGGTCTGGCATGCTGGTTTCAGGTCCAGAGGTCACTCTCAGAGCAGGCACTCCCCACTCAAAAGTAGAAGTCGCGAGGCAGAGAAGAGAGGCAGACACTGGGCTGGATGGGGAAAGTACGCGGAGGGGGGCCTGGGTGGATCCAGGCAGGTGCCATGGAGGGGAGGAGTCACTAGATGCAGCAGCCCAGGGGGATCCTGACTTGGCTGAGGCAGGTCACGGGCTGCTTCCCAGGCAGGCATTGGACCAGCATGTGTGGGGTAGGTGGGGATGCCAGCAGTCACTGAGGCGGGTCGACACAGGCGTGGGAGGCTGTTCAGGAAGAAGTTCAGGGAGCTGGATGTGGAAGAGTTGCTGTTTCTCCAGCATTGTCAGTGCACACAGCTGGTGCACACGAAGTGCAAACGCAGTGCCGGGCAGACAGCAGACCTCTGCTAGACGGGGACGCACAGTCAGTGGTGTAGGCCGTGGGCACTGTGCATCCCCCGCTCACTGGCTCCTGGCTGGCGTAACGCCAGCATCTGTACTTTGACTCTCCTTAGGCAAGCAGCGAGGACGCCAGACCAAGCCCACAGACCAGAGCAACCAAGTGTTCTACAGAGGAGCCCGCCTCATCCTGGACCCAGGCCTCATTAGCAGTCACTGTGTCTCCCAAGGATGAGGAGGACGAAGAGGAAGGAGGCAAAATAATGGCAGAGCTATAGGTATGTGGATGATGTGCAGGGCATCTGGGACTCCCTGCCCAGTGCTCACAGACGTGCTGGCCGCAGAGAGCAGGTGCATCTCCTGCTGCGGCTCCCCCGGCCCAAGGTGGAGCTGAGCCAGGCGCCCGCAGCACCTGTGCCGCCTGTGAGAGCGGGCAGCCCACTGACCAGCTCTGAGACTCCTACAGAGAAGCGGTTGCACACTTTCCTGGCGTCAGCTGGTAGCATTCGCTGTCCTTCCCTTCCATCTCAAGAGTGTCTGCTTCATGCCAGAGGTTGCCAAGGCGGGACTCTGCGGGTGTGCAGCCTCGCTGAGCTCTGGTGGAAGTTGGCTTCCAACGGGCTCCTCTCTTTGGCATTCACAGGAGGAGAATGCCTCTTTGGCATTCACACGTGGGATGCCAAGGGTGTGGGCGAGGGGCGTCCGCCTCTGGGACTCAGCTCGGGGAGGAAGACACCATGACCGCCGACTTGCCCCAAGTTTCCAATCCAGGTGAACCTGAGCCTAAGGCAACCTCAACAGAGGAGGGTGGGGGCGAGGGGGAAAGAGCTGCGCCCTCCGGAGCCTGCCCTTGCCAACCTTTCCCCAAGCCGCCAGGCCATCAGCGGCGGCCGACTAGCCGCTCCGTGGTCCCCGGCTCCCGGGAGCCCGGGTCCCGCATGCAGCCCTGAGCCAGAGCCCTCTGCACAACAAAGCCCCGGAGGGGTGCCTTCATTTTCCTGTCTCCTCTCTCGCCGAAGGAGCCTCCCTCCCTCATGGCAGCCATGGCCTCAGCTGGGCCTTCGCCACGCCGGCCCGCGTGTCCGCACTTCCTGGGACACCCCGGCATTACCTGCCCCGCAACCGCGGGCACGCTCGCCACCAGCCAGGATCAAAGGGACAGAGGCAGTGGCAAAGCTGCGTGACCTCCCGGCTCAGCCAGCATGCAGGTGGAGCGGACGCTGTGAGAGCGGAGTCTCCCACAGGCACTCCTTTCACAACTCTCCCAGCCAGCCTAGGAAAGCGCCCCTAGAGCCCGCCCAGGGGTATGAGCCAGGTCGAGGGCCCCACAGGTAGCGGGTGAGCAGCGGGACCAGCCCCTCCCACGTTCCCTCCCCCCTCCTGCCAGAGTTCACCCAGTCTCTCCAGCGAAAGAAGCCTGGGGGACATCCCGCCACTCCCGCGTGTGCACACACGCACAGGCGCCCACGTGCACCCGGGCGGCTGCGCCGCGGGGCCCGGGGCTGCCGGGCAGGGCCCACGCGTTCGAACGCCGAGGTCTGCGCTCCCGAGAGGACAGACCTGCAAAGCGAGGCGTGCACATGGGGCTGCCAGCAGGAAGCCTGCGTGAACGTGTGTTTCACGGTGGGCAACGCTGGAGCCCACGCCCGCACCTCTGCGAGCTGGAGCCGCAGCTCTGGTTTGGGGGGTGGGAGGGCGGTGGCGGAAACACTTTTCCAGCATGGCCTCCTGAGGCGCTGCACGTTAAGCCCGTTAAGTGCGGATTCCGCGGATGTCCGAGGAGCGGTCAAGCTCCCTTTGGAGGAACCGGTGTCTGCGCGCAAGGACGCGTGGGCGCTGCCACGCGACTTCCCGTTGGCGGCGGTCTCCCCTCGGCGGGCTGTCGCCTCCTCGCCAGACCGGGAAAGGCGCTGCTGCCTCCCCCGAACTGGCCCCCGTGACCGACCCCGTCTCAGTTCCTAAGGGAGGACACACAGCACCCCACCTCTGCGCCGGCCTCTGACCCCAGCGAGCCCTCAGAGCTCCCCCGGGACCCCCTACCCGGCAGCCCACCCACCGGCGCGCCCAGCTCCTCACCTGAGGGTCCGGGTCACGCAGGGCCTCCTGAGAGGGTTGCGGTGTCAGCAGGACCTCCGCACTTGTCAGCGTCCCCGGGGAGCAGGTAACCGGACTCCGGCAGTGCTGGGCTGCTGCAAGGGGGTGGGCACAGCGGCAGAGGGCTGAGGGACTGCGAATTAAAGCCTTCCGGAGGGAGCTGAGGTGGCCAAGCCCAGGCAGCACTCGGAGTGGGGGCGAGTGGGGCGGAGGTGGTTGTTGTGGTTAGGGGGCGGTTAAGTGAAGATTTCTGGCTCTAGGGGAGGCTGGGATGGGGAATCCTGAGCTAGTGGGGCAAGAGGGTAAGAGTAGGATGTGTCCTTGGGAGTCGCCTGGAGCTGGGCTTTCGATAGGGTGAGGCAGGGGCAGCAGGGGTCAGGGATGTGGACTGAAGGGAAAAACACAAAACGGCCCGGCCCCGATTCCAGGGCCCACGGGGGTGGTAAATACCCACACTTTCCAAGAAACTGAGAAAAAAAAAAATCAGACCAATAAAATAATAGTAACTCAATAATAACTCTTCTCTCTCTCTCTCTCTCTCAAAAAAAAAAAAAAAAAAAGAGGAAAAAAGTTTGGCAGGATGCCTCACAGGAAAAAAAATACTAATCTGCCCAAGCACTTTTCACTTTGAGCATGAGCTACATTTGTCTTGTTTTCCTTCTCTTCCTTTTGGCCTCACAAAGCCCTACCTTTTCCTTTTGGACAGAAGATAGGGCTTGGAGATCATCAGGCATCTTTGTGGTCAGTGATCCACTTTGAGGGATGGAGGGATTCATGGTTAGTCAGGGCTTGGGAGCCTCCAAAGGACCCACATGGGGTGCAAATAACAGAACTGCAAAATAATAGGCACACAAAGTGGGTGCTTAGCCTAAATGCATTATTGGAATCCTGAAATTTGAAACCTTGTGAGAAGGTATACTTTACCTTCTGAGAAAACCTGAACGTGATTATTTCAGGTGAAAATGAGATTTTGGTGGAGGGAGGAAAAAAAAGATCTTCAAGATTTTCTACAGTGGAGGAAAACATAACTTAAAATAACTCTGTTTTTTTGGAAAGAGTTCAGTGGTGTTCAAAATCTGTATCTGTAGAAGACTTGAAACCCTTTTAGATTTTCTAAGAAGCAAAGCTAATTAAATAAGTAGATATTCCAGGGCTTTGTAGAAAAATTGTAGCAAAATTCTGCTTGAATTGCAAATATTATCTCTAAATCTTGAATGAAACCATGTTACTAGTTGCACAGATCAAATTTTTCATTTTATGAAATTGATTCTAAATTACAGTATGAGGTAAGGTTAAAGAAATAAAAATGGGTGTTTTTCCATGATAAACACTTTGTAAGTCATTATAATAATTTTTTCTTAAATAAATAATAAAAGTGAGTCGTTGTATGCTTTAAAACTTGAGAATTCATTTTGTTTAAGATCACATCTTTGAAATAAAATCCTATTACTGAACAAAGTTTTTATTAAGTTATTTGCAATCTCATACATGTCATACACTTAAGAATGCAAATTGTTACATTTTATATTCATATAAATTATTGGAGCACTACAAATCATTGGTTGTACTTTAATCTAGAGACACAGATGGGGATCCTCCATTTTTCATAACTGCTCATATCCATGCTTTTTCAAACAAGATTTACTTGCTAGTAAGTAACATGTCTATGCAATCCAGAAATAGGCACCAATGAATAGCCATAGGAAACAGCACACAGTGGCAAGAATTTATTTGAGTAAATAGTTTAAAACATACTAAGGTGTAAATATCTTTAAAATTAAAACAAGTGTCTTTTGTACATTGGATTGTGTTTTTATTTACTAAGTTTGACAACAACCATTACTGGATTAGAAATTTCATGATTTAGGTTACTAGATTATTTGAGTAAAAAGCAAATATGGAAATTTTATTGAATTAAGTGAATGTCCAGTGTGAACTCTCCACTTCTTGTTCTGATGTTTCTTACCTTTTATGTTAATTTACCATTGTTCACTCTCCCTGTTACCCTAAGATCCCTACTGGTTAGAGATTTAGAACCAAGAAAATTTTACAATGATGTATATAAAATTAGTAAATTCCATCTTGTCTTAGTTTATGGACAGCTTCCTCTGTGGGTAACAGGTTGTCATAAAAAATTTGTGCACAGTTTAGAAACTGTGAACCAAATTCCAACTCTTATTTAGGAGTTTTCTATGAATAAGCACATAGCATTCAAGAGAAATGATGTTAACCAGTATTTTCATACCACATATGAGATATACTGTAGTTAAATCATCTTACAGGTTTTCAAGAATTAGAATTTAAGGATTCCAAAAACGGCATTGTAGCTGACACTAATGTATTTCATGAATAAACATTTTCATAGCATATAGCTGTAAAATTTTGTTGTCACCTAAATGAAAGTAAAATCTAAAACTCTGATCTACAATGTTTAATCTTGTAACTTATTATGCAATAGTAATTATATAGTACTTGTCTAATTCTAAATTTTCTCTGGTTTATTCTACTTGAATTTATAAAATCTCTTTTTCAGAAACTTGGAAATGAGGTTTTGCTGTAATCTGCTACACAATTGTTTTAATTGGTGGTCCATGTAAATGTATGCTTTTGTCTATAAAATTCTCCTGTTTATTATTTCGATAAAAACATTTCTGGTTTATTAACTTTGAAACAAGTTACCCTACTTTTTAGCCTGATTTGCTTGTGTGTGCAAATGTTATCTTGTTGAGTAATTGCCATGAAAAACTGTTACTTGAACAGAAAGAGTGTAATATAGGGCAGTGCATGTTAATGCATTCTCCCACCCTCCTCAGGCAGTTCCAAGATAGTTTCTTGGGTATTTTCCTTTCCTAAAACACAATATTGAATGCTAAATATCCTAAGGAAAAAAAAATCAACATTTTAAATCAACTTTTTCAATTGCAAAATTCTAAACTTGCAATGATTTTTAAAATTCGGTCTTCTACATAAATTATTTCCTGTCAATTTGAAAATTACCTGATATGTACTGTGAGGGAAAAAAATATACCAGGTAGTAGCTTATACAATTTAAGGAGAGAAAAACAGACATTATTATCTTCTGCAACAATCTGTTTCCATGGGTTCTACTAGTCTATAATTATCCCTGTGCAACATGTCAGTACCATACTCATATTTGTATAATTGTCCTCATCTTTTCTAGGTTTTTCCCTTTTGAAAGACACCCGTATCTTCTTTTTTCTCCATGTATGTGTGTGTGAATACCGGTAAGTTCTTAGTGTATTGTTAGGACATGTTTATAACATGCTCTTTCATCATCTGTATTAGAATTCTGAATAATCAGGAAAGCAACTATGAAAACATACTTACAAAAGAGCCTGAAAACTACATTGAAATACCTCACTTCCTTTCAGTTTACCTCTATTTTTCACTGGCATCTAACATTTCTTATCTAAGATAATACCAGCATCTTCACTGCACATATGGCCTAACAGTTGTGTTGTTAGAGCTGCTTTTGGCTGAGCTGAAAGGGGTTCATAAGTGTTTTAGACCATTCAGGTGGAGTAGAAAAGGTACAGCCCAGAGTTGGTGAGGATGATAAAGTGGAAGCTGGGAAGTGGGAGAGATGAAGAAGGCAGAGCTTCTGTGATTGGGGTGGCAACAGGGCCAAGTGAAGGAGGCATGTGTTGAGTTTGGGGGGCCACGGGGTGCAGCCTCCATGCTGTAGCTATTGTGCATCCAGGCAACTTGATTGTTTCAAGTGAATGACATCCTGTGTCTATCCTAGTATGCCATGAAATCTTTTTTTTTTTTTTAAGATTTTATTTACTGATTTGAGAGAGTTACAGACAGTAAGAGAGACAGCACTGTGCCGATCCAAAGCCTGGAGCCAGGTGTTTCTTCCTGGTCTCCCACGCAGGTGCAGGTGCCCAAGCACTTGGGCCATCCTCAACTGCCCTCCTGGGCCTCAGCAGAGAGCTGGATTGGAAGAGGAGCAACTGGGACTAGAACCCAGCACCCATATGGGATGTCAGTGCCGCAGGTGGAGGATTAACCAAGTGAGCCATGGTGCCGACCCCATGAAATCTTTCTTATGAGATGAGATAGTATAGTACGTGTGTCCATATTCACCTGATCCTATTTTGTGTTCATTCTGGATTTCTCCCGAAAATATGATAGAATGGAATCTTTTGACTGCCTAGAAGGAAGTATATGATAGCATCATTTTGAAGAGCAAACATTTTACCATGAATTGAAGAGTGTGTCTGATTTTTAAGCCCTTTGATAAATTTGTTCAAAGTTACTGACATCTTTGTATTCCCAATACCTAGTGCAGTAACTGACGAGCATTTTATGTGCAACAAAGATTTGTCAACTGAAAAGTTGGCTCTGCATCCTTTCATCCCTGTTATTTGACACTACATCTTTCTATCTGCTGTAGGGGACTATATTAGAATCATTTTGAATATAATGCCAACAAAGCATTTAATAGTTTAAAAATCAGTGTACTCATCTTAGCACTCACTTTAGAGCTGTGTTTCCTTTACGTGCAGTTCCTTTCCTTCTTAGCCCCTTTTCAAAATCCTATCTCCTTTCAAGACTCAGCTCCTCCATAAAAACCTTTGAAAGTCCCTCTGCTGGAAGACCTCCCTCTTCACTCTAGCTCCTTGGGGCCATGCATTCTGCAGGACTGAAATCTTGAAGCTCTGCTCTCTGCACCCCAGTCCTCTTTCAGAGCATGTGCCAGGACTTGTTTCCTTTTGACAGTTCTCCAGCTCCTGGCCATGCCCTCTGGCCATAGTGGGTGGCCACTTACTATTGACTCCAATAGCCACAGGACAGACTGGAACAGTGAAAGTTAAGAACTAGTGTTTCATCTTGCTTAAGCAGGAAAGAACCACTTTGGGTAAATTTGATATGTTTTCTCCAGTGTTGCAGATACTGGTCATTTAAAGCATTTCTATCTGAAAGAAAATGTGTTTAAACAAATTTCTCCATTCTCTACTCCTCAAAACTCCATCAAAAAGAATTCTCTTTAAAAAGAGCAAATACTAAATGCCGATGCAAGTTAGACACCATCTAACCCAGACCCTGGAAAGATTGCTAATTTTATCGGCCATATCCTTCAAATTTCAAGAGACTTAGAATTTTTTATTCTTGTTTTTTCTTCCCTTTGTAATAGTCCCCATACCCTCGGGGAAGAGTCATTTAATCTCTCTTGCCTGCAGAATCTATGCCTATTATATTGGTTTGCTAATCATCAGGAAGATATTATGGAAGTAGTTTGGAGAGATCAACAAAGAATTTTACCTTCATAAGAGAGGGTATGGAGCTATAATAGAGGGTGTCAGAAAGCTTGAAATTTGATCTTGTATTGGCCACAAACTGCTGGTGTGACCTTGGGCAATATACTTATTCCCTTGGCTTTAAGCTCTTTACCAATAAAAGAGATGATTAGGTTGGATAATTTCTATAGCCGGTGCAGCTTGGAACTGCTGTGCTTGTGCAGTGTGCTCTGCCTGACAAGGTCAGTACACAACTTTTTTATAAATCACGACATGCTAGAAGATGGGACTATCATGTCAGCAATGCGGAGAGGTGTGTGGATTTCCACTGCGAATTATAATGGCTTCTCTCTCTCGCGTAACCTTCCAGACATCCAAGACTGAACAGAGATGAAGAAACGTTAGGGGGGGTCTTTACCGCTTTTATTAGAGATCGGGAAGCAGGAGTCCTGCTCTATTTGTCCAAAACTAAGTGTGATAAGCAAACTAATCCTCATTAGTAAAATGTGATTAATGAGTTGTAGTCATCCACATATCTCAGAAATCTAGGGTGATCACGCAAAATCCTTAAAGGTATTGTGAAGTGTAGCATTGGTGGATATGACCCGTCTGTAAACTATTAGAGAGGTCAGTGGCAGCTGTACCCCTGCGAGGCAGGGGAAGGTCGAGAAGGGAGGCTCAAAGGCAGGTTGCTCTGAATTTGAGAGGCTGCGGCAATATCAGGTATTTCCAGCGTCACCCATCCAAAGCTGTTACGGAAACGTGTAGAGGTGGCTGTTGCATCCAGCCGTACGCATAGCTTCAGGATTCTCCCTAGATGCTCACAGGAAGGATGTTAGGTAGGTAGAAGGAGGATTTCATGGATTTCTAGTCTGGTTCCATTGTGGGCTGGGTTTTTAAGCTTTCAGATTCTCAGTTTCCCTCACAGTAGGTTGGCATGTGTAAATGCCTACTGTTGTAATTTGGCATTCATCAGACAGCAGTATCAGTATGCAATCTACATCCCTTTCACGAAATCACATTCCCTATTTTTTCATTTTAGGGATAGCTAACCCTTTCATAGACATTTTTTCATAAAAAAAAACTGGACTACAGGGAGAGAGAGACAGAAGGTGTCGCTCCCCCTCTTCGCGGAGGAACGACACAGGACCCTGCGCTGTTCTTTTGTCTGTTCGGCCCTCCCCGGGTTTGCTGCTGGTTCTTCCCGGGTTGGCTACCGTCCCTTCCACCTCCGTGGAACACACGCCGGCACACCGCTGGCCGGCTCTCTCAGGGGCTGCACAGGTGTTCCTTCAGATAGATGTTCCTGGTGCATGTTGTCTCTCTCCTCCTTTATAGTCCTCTTCCACCAATCCCCACTCTGCTACCCACACGCCGAGTACGCTGCTCTCCTCCAATCAGGAGCAGGATCAGCTCCTGGAGGTCATCACTCAAGTTGGCAAGAGGCAGCTGCGTAGAAGCTGTTTTCTCCTCTCCCAGCGCCATATTGTGGGAGAGCAGATGCATAGAATAAGTCTTAATTCCAGTAACTTAGTCTAGTCCGAGTTGCTCCCAGTTGCTCCCCACAGAAGGGGTGAGCTCCCATCTGCTGTTTCATTCTCCAAATGCCCACAAGTGGCTGGGGCTGAAGCACAGTGCCAGAAGCTCCATCCAGTTCCCCCGCATGAGTTGCAGGAACCCAGAGATTTGAGCTATCCTGGCTGTCTCCCAGGGTTTACTTTAACAGGAAGCTGGGCTCAGGAACCAGAGCTGGAAACTGAATCCTGGCCCTCTGATGTAGGAGACAGGCATGTTAACCAGTAGGCCAAATGCCTGCCTCCTGTCTGTCATTTTAGCTGGATTGGAGCATCCGCTCATTGCAGAAGGAGCCACCCTAGAAACACAGAACCCACAAAATGACCTTGGCCTTGACAAAAGCCTGTCTCTGGGCGTGTGAAGAATGGCAGAGAAGGCGAGTTGTCTTACCTGAGACTTCTCTTCCTTGTCCAGGGCTTGCTGCACTGCTGCTCAGTCTCCTTGTTTTCCTCACCCTCTTCCTTCCACATGGCTCTCTCTATTCTTCCCTTTGCCACTGCTTTGATGTGGCCCAAGGACCACCCCATTCTGCTCCTTAAGTCTGTACCTCAAATTTTGGCTGACATTTGTTTTAAACACTGCACTTTGCTGCCTCCTACACAATTCCTCCATGGGCTACCCTCCCAGAGTCATGGGGACCCTTCTTACTTCTCCTGCTTGAAGTGCTGGCTGGTTCCCTGTTTGTCATCACCTCTTCCCCAGCCTGCTACCTTATCTCCTTGACATGGGTGACATTGCTTTTCCTACACTGCACTCTCTCTCCAGAAATACTCAAGGAGAGCTGCTCCACTCCTCCATTTTGGTCACTTCCCAGGGATGGTTCTATGGTTCCTTGGCTCCTTGTCCTTTGATAGGTAGTTCAATATTTCCTTTTCAGCCAATTCCCTGCTTTCTTGTTTCTCCTCATGTACCACCAAGTACCTCACTCTGTAGTTCTTGAATTTCTTTCTTCCGCTGATGACTCATGAAAGAATCATGAGACTGTATGAGGGCTCTTCAAAAAGTTTCTGGAAAATACGTATTGTGAAAAACTATACCTGCATTTGAAAAGTTTTTCACACACACACAACAAAACCTTACCTTTTAATTCCATTTTTCCATGAACTTTCTGAACCACCCTTGTGTGCACAATACTATAAAAGATGATGGAGTCTGTGAAGGCAATATCAGGGGACTTTCTTAAATCTGAGTCCTTGCTCAGAGTCAGTGAATGAGAAGTGTTGTTGAATGAAAGGTCTAGGTCATTAGAAATGTGAGTGCTTTCAGATAATGTTCTAACTCCCCAGTTACCAGTACTCTTTCAGACCACATTGTGTTCACCTATTGCCTCTGAATCCTGCATTCCATGCTGTCTCTTTGAAGGATGAACTGCTAGGCAGAGTAGATAAAAGTACAGTTTTCCCTGC